GTCTCTTTTTTCATTTTACCATACTGTGGAGTTGCCTTTGAGCTTTGACGACTGTAGATTATTTACAGGAAAAAACAACCTTGCAAGTGTCAAGACCTTTTGATTTCTCACATGTCACTTTTTCGGTTTTGACATTCTGCTTTTTTTAGACCTCTCCTCTTCCGCCGGCGCCGATCTTCTGGTCGATTCTGATACAGAGCGCTTGATCTGCCCTCGTGGTCGTCATTGTGCTTCGCGTGGTCTCGGCTGGGACTCCAAATCTCTTCCAACGAGGGCCACTCTCGGGGTTCTCTGCTCCAGTCTGTTGATGGTCGTCTTTGATGAAGCCGAGCAGACAGTAGCCTTCATTTCGCCCGCATTCTCACAGCTTCTTGGCCTCAAATGGGTGGGTCAATTGCCTCTAGCTGACTGGATGTATTTCGTTTTGACCCATTTACAATTCTTACTAGCCCCCCTGCTCTCTCGATTATGCATTTTCAGCAATTTGATTTCGCGACAATGTGATCTACCATTCAAAGGCTTCTCTATATTTGCTAACTTTTTCTCTTTTCGGGTGGATTCAGTTGGTAACCCTTTGGCATTGAATGAGAACGGCCTTTTAGCATTAACATGATATTGTGTGATCTATTGTGAAAAATCAGCATTTCCCTCAGGCCGAAACTGATTTACATTGGCAACACTCTTTCCTTGATGTCATTGAAGACACTGACCGTTGTCATGGCGATTGAGAGAGTTGATGGTCCACAACTTTTCGTATAGCTGATCCATTTTCGGTGGCACACGTTTGCAAGCCTCTTACTTGCATTGTTGAGAGATCTACGGCTACTATCGGATTGAGATGGAAGGAATAGATGGAGGCAACAGTTTTATGGTGTTTTAACCGGACCTACTTGACGCAGAACTCCAACATACCGTTAACGTCTTGGAGAGCTGAATATGTCGTCTCTTTTAGTGACTGATGGTCCTGGCAGCTACCATCGCTAGTTTCTCAATGTTATGGAGAACATGTTGAGGAAGATGCCAGCAACTCTGGGACTAGGCCTGTAGTTGGGTCTGTTGAATGTGAAAAAATGGTATCGGAGGAGTAAAGAATGTGTCTTTGTTGAGGACCACCATGGTGTTACTTGCATTAAATATGTCAGGGATTCATTAACTCCTTCGTGTCAGGTACCATCTTGCTGGTACAACAGGCACCTACTTCCGTTGGGAACCAGCTTGCGAGCTAGTCGCTCCCAGCATATTTGGTAGGATCATGTGGTAAAGGGGACTACGCTATCACCTTAACTCCAGGCTTCTTGAAAACGGACTATAAGGGATGAGTGAGACGGGTCTGATTAAAGCTAAATTCGTGCAAAATCTGGACTTTAGCTCGTATCGGCTCGGCCAGTTAAAGTGCCCCCGGCCACATTACTCTTCCGAGTTGTAGATACGAAGAGTGGCTGGGTATCAATGAATCTCCTGAGATGACATTGTTGAAGAGACGTTCTGTACAGTAGCCATTTGGGTTTAATATCATGTTCAGATTTACGTCGTCTACGAGACATCCTCCCTTGTTTCGGGCGTCAACCTGAACGTCTTAGTAAAGCCAAAATGATGTGATACAACGCGAACCAGCCATCGCTTTCTGATGAGATCGATCGTCCAATCTCTTCATCATGTACTTTCGTACGAAATTAAAGTCCCCTCCAACAATAGTATCACAGAAAATTTATCGAAGCCCACTTACCCTTCATATCTCCCATTAAACCCTTACTATAACTTCCTGCCGACATCCTCTTAAGGTCAGTAAGGTTTAAAAGTTTCGCTTACGAATTAGGGATGTGAATTTCTTCTTAGCTCAAATCCATAGCTAGAACGCGCTAGCTGTAGTCATAGGAGACCAGAGGTTCAAAGTTCCCATGACAGCGGGAACTCATTCTTGGAAAATTCTCACGTTAACACTAGGCCAAGAAG